TTTTTTTTTTTTTAGTGAATATTTTTTGAAGGAATATTCTGAATATTGGTTGGTATGGTACAAATAAATACAATAGAATTATAAATTTTTATCTATTTTTAAGCATCTACCCTTTGCTAACTTTGAAAAATAAAATCTGTCGTTGAAAGAATAAAAATTGGACTGTGTGACTTGGAAGTGACTCATTTATAGAAGGAGTCTGGCAAAATTAACAGAATAATTATACCTGCCTTTTTATATTTATTTGTGTTTATAGAGGAACTAGAGGTCGGATGCACAAAATTTATGCAAGTGGCTCGGCCCTTGCAGCCCTGGCTTCGTCTGAACAATCGTTTTTCTGTTCGGTCTAATTAGCATATTAGCTCTTTATTATGTAGATAATTATGATATAAAGGATGAGATGTCAAGCTGTATTAAAAAACAGAAAAGTTTGCAGGTTATGTGCACCTTAATGGCTTTAGAATTAGGTTTCAGTCACCTCTTTTGTTTTGTTGTTTTCTCTCTCTGTAATTCACCCTGGTTCCCTGGATTTTTTTTTTTCTTATTGATTTCAGAGAGGAAGGGAGAGGGAGAGAGAGATAGAAACATCAGTGATGAGAGAGAATCATTGATTGGCTGTCCCCTGCACACCTCCTACTGGGGGTTGAGCCTGCAACCCGGGCATGTGCCCAAACTGGAATAGAACCTGGGACCCTTCAGTCTGCAGGCTGACACTCTATCTACCCAGCGGTTCTCAACCTGTGGGTCGCGACACTTTCACAGGGGTCGCCTAAGATCATCGGAAAACACATATATAATTACATATTGTTTTTGTGATTAATCACTGTGCTTTAATTATGTTCAATTTGTAACAATGAAATTGGGGGTCATCACAACATGAGGAACTGTATTAAAGGGTCGAGGCATTAGGAAGGTTGAGAACCACTGTAAGCCAAATGGGCTAGGGTTCCCTGGATTCTTCAGTGATTGAGATGTAATAGTGTTAATGAGAAGAAAGTTTTGTCTCTTGTGCCTTTAGCCCAGGGGTGGGCAAACTTTTTGACTCGAGCGCCACAATGGGTTCTTAAACTGGACCGGAGGGCCAGAACAAAAGCATGGATGGAGTGTTTGTGTGAACTAATATAAATTCAAAGTAAACATCATTACATAAAAGGGTACGGTCTTTTTTTTTTTTTAGTTTTATTAATTTCAAACGGGCCGGATCCCGGGCCGTAGTTTGCCCACGGCTGCTTTAGCCTCTCTACCTTCTTTTTCGTAAGGGAAAAGTAGTGGTTCACCATTTTTTTTTAAAAGTCAATTTTAGTTGTATCCTTTGGCATCTAGTTAAAGTGAGGCAGAGACACAGTTGAGCATTCTAATTTTAGGTTTAATGGGGGAGAAATAATAACATTAGCATGTAGCTTTTTTTTTAAAAAAAATATGCCCTGGCATGAAATAGCTCTTGCCACTGACACAGGTATCAAACTAGGATAAACTAAGTACTGTATGTCTGCTTCACCCCTGACTGATATAAGAGCAACACCACCAATCAGGGGTCTCCTTGCCCATTGCCAGTAGTAGCATCAAGCTGATTACTTTGTATGTGCCAGCTACTGTGCTAGGCTCCTAACATCTAAATTCTACAGTGACCCTTTGTTGGGATTCAGTGATACAGTTCTCCATGGTTTCTGTATGTCTTGTTAGCAGAGGCATTGACTGCTTTTGTTTCTACTGCTTTTCAAGGATGTTTATATAGTGAGCAGCCTTGGAAGATAGAGATAGTGTCTCCCTCTGGAGCAAAGAGCAGGTATGCATAGTATCCTTTTTATTTTTCAGAGTTTAAAGTGAAAATGAGTTTATTAGTGAAGAAGTGGGACAGAGAGAAGGCTGCTCCACAGGCAGATATCCCATTTTAAAGGATTTGACTTCCCCAGTCTCTGGGTTCCTCTTCTGTAATGCAGTCCACTGCATGTGCAGGTGTCAGCCTACTTTGTGTTGCCCTCTGGGAAATAGGACTGGGGAACTGCATAAGAAAATGCTGATATTTTAACTATAGTTATTGCTATGAGTCATAAAGTTCATTTTCTCCAATCAAGGAGTCTTAGGTCTTTTGCCAGCACCCATGAAACTGGCAAGCTAACTTGTTAGCTTGCAAGTATGGTAAAATCTCAGATTCTTCACCGCTCTTAATAGTTTTGGCAACAAGGATGGAATACTGACAGACACATGACTTTTTGAAAGGAAGGGTGAGGGTCCCATGGGCTGGTGAATAGAATTTGGACAAAGTCCATGGAATTGGTAGCAGACATGTTGACCAAATTGTTAAGTGGCTCTCTACTTTATTGCCTGTTAATGAGGAAGAATTAGAAAAGTGGTTGCAGACTGAGATGTGGTTTGAAAGCTGCCTGAACTCAATTCCTCTAGGTCAGCGGTTCTCAACCTGTGGGTCGCCAACCTGTGGGTCGCGACCCCTTTGGGGGTCGAACGACCCTTTCACAGGGGTCGCCTAAGACCATCGGAAAACACACATATAATTACATATTGTTTTTGTGATTAATCACTATGCTTTAATTATGTTCAATGTGTAACAATGAAAATATATCCTGCATATCAGATATTTACATTACGATTCATAACAGTAGCAAAATTACAGTTATGAAGTAGCAACGAAAATAATTTTATGGTTGGGGGTCACCACAACATGAACTGTATTAAAGGGTCGCGGCATTAGGGAGGTTGAGAACCACTGCTCTAGGTGTTGCTAACTCTCAAACATTCTGTCTGGTAGGGGCATTTTTTTTTCCTTCACTAATTTATCTGTCAGGCTCAGGTTCAGACTCCACCCATTGTAACAACTAGTACTAATATTTGTCCAGGCTGTGCAGAAGGTTCTGCCTCTGTTCAAACAACGCTTACAGACATTTGTACACCTACAGTTATGTGAAAGGAGGCAAATTTGCAACCTCTGTGGGCAAAAAGCAAACTTGTTAGAACTTTCACTGCTTTGTTTGAGACGAGAGGATGGGGTACATAATGTGTTATTGCTCAGCCTCTACTTTAGAGGAAGTTCTATTCCCTACTTCACTGTTTGTAGCAAAGCCACTGACTGAAAGGGGTCCTCAATGCAGAGATTTACTTCAGTGGGGGCCTGGTGCTCTAGTAGTTTAGCCATGCGGAAACTGGTTGTGTCTCCTTGTCTTCTGGGGCTGTTTAGCCTCTGTACCAGCTGTGCAGACTGATAATAGATGTAGTTGCTCTTTTCAATGGGTAGAAGTCAAGGCTGTTCTTATAGCTCTGGCCAGTACTCTCCTTCATGAAACTTGTATTTCTGCTGACTATTGGCCTATTTCCAATAGCTTATTTGGTCTGCCACTTGGAAACTATAGACTGGAAGATTAAAGACAGCTCTCTTTATAACTGTGGAAACAAATTACAGTTGCTGATCAAACTTCCTGAATCACTACAGTAGATGCCCACAGTAAGGGCCTGTTTTCTCTGGAAGACCATTGGAATCAGGCTTCTGATTGAGCCTGCACTGCCCAAGCGCCATCATTGTTGGCTGGACCTATCATTTTATCCAGTGTGACAGTACATCAACTATCATAAATTGCATGCAAAGTAAAGGATTTTAGATTTCTGATGTAGACGGTAGTATTGCATGCCAGACTTGTGACGCCTGCCAAAAGTTGACCTGCTTGTCACATAGTGAGAGAAGCCACCTTGCATGGGATTTGGTCCATGTCTGCTTTTAACAAATTGAATATGTTGGACCTCTGAGCTCCCTCCCAGAGGTATTAGTAGTACCTCACCGCTGTTCATACTTTTTCTGGTTATGGTGTTGCTCTTCTAGTCCAGTTAGGTGACTGGCCACATCATTGTGGCCCTTGAAACTAATATGTGTTATGCTTTCAGGTTTTCTGGACCATTTTCAGTCTAATGATGGTGCACTTTTATTGCAAAAGCTACTCAACAGTGAGCTGGTAGTCAAGATATTTGAGGGACCGTGCGTGCTCCCCACCAGCCACAGGCATCTGGTTTGTGGATCAGTGTTGGAACAGCTTCCTCTGTAGTAAGTCAGTTTGGTCACTGAATGTGGCTATACCCAGAAAGGGGTCATCTCATCGTGGTCACTTCCTGAATAATGATCAGAACTGAAGATGTATGAGGCTATATAGCCTTATTTTGAAAATTTAGGATTCCATCCTGACCAGTTCTGGGCATGATACTTTTTTTTTTCTCTTCTAGAAGCAACCCAAGGCCAACCTGTTTATACACCTTCTATGTGGCAGCGCCCCAAAAGGTGGCCTAGGACATTCAGACTTAATTTTGGTTCAGTCACCTGGATTCTCTTGTTGAGTTGACATGGTCCTGGATCATAAGGATACTGACTACATGGTTGAGTACACTGCTTGCTGCATCCCGCTGTAGTGCTCTTGTGGGTCAGTGAGGACCATAAATAGGTTTCTGTAGGTTTTATAAAATTCTCTTGACCCTCTTATACCTGACATTTCCAGTGAAAGGCCTGAGAGAGTAGGAGATAATGAGTGGAAAAAAGATGAAGTTACAGCTACTGGAAGGGGACATAATGATTTTATGGTAGTGGAGGGAAAGTAACATTTTCAGCACCTGGGTAAGGGAATGAATACCTTAGAACCCAGAAAATTTGAGGAAGGGAAAGATAATAATGTTCTTTGTGTTTCAGAACCACACTTGAAGCCTAATTAGTATGTACTGTCTAATCTGTGATAGCCATTGTTATTATTCCTATTTTGAAGATGAAAAACTGGATGTGTACAGAGGTTAAGTAATTACTTAATGACAGGTAGTCATAACAAGGCT